GTATTGGCTATCCCTCCCAATTTGGTGTCGTCTGCAAACTTGATGATCCTGCCTTCTAACCCTTCATTCAAGTCATTAATAAAGATGTTGAACAGGACGGAACCGTGCGGCACTCCGCTCGTCACTTCTTTCCAGGATGAAGAGGAAGCATTTGGGGAGAATCACCCTCTGGGTTCGTCCATTTAACCAATTACAGATCCACCTTACCGTAGTTTTGCCTAGCCCACATTGGACTAGTTTCCTTGCCAGAAGGTCATGGGGGACCTTGTCGAAGGCCTTACTGAAATCCAGGTACGCTACATCCACGGCATTCCCCGCATCTACCCAGCTTGTAACTCTATCGAAAAAAGAGATCAGATTAGTCTGGCATGACTTGTTTTTGATAAATCCATGTTGACTATTAGCAATGACCACATTTGTTTCTAAGTGTTTGCAGACCACTTCCTTAACAATCTTTTCCAGAATCTTGCCTGGAATTTTCCAGAATCACCCCTGACAGATGGCCATCCAGCCTCTGTTTAAAAGCTTCCAAAGAAGGAGCCTCCACCACGCTCCGGGGCAGAGAGTTCCACTGCTGAACTGCTCTCACCGCTAGGAAGTTCTTCCTAATGTTCAGGTGGAACCTCCTTTCCTGTAGTTTGAAGCCATTGTTCAGCATCCTAGTCTCCGGGGCAGCAGGAAACAAGCTTGCTTCCTCCTTGTGCTGGCACGGCTCTGCCAGGAGATTTGATTCTTTTTCTTGCACTGTTAGTTTGTTTGAATTTATTTGGGCCATGCATTTTGCAATTGGGTAGCTTTCCCCAGGTTGCAGTCATAGGCAGAGGCGGCCCTAGGTAATTTTCAATGCTAAGCGGAGTTGGGAGATACCTCCAGCCAGAGGGGCTCTCTCTCTCTCTCTCTTGGTCCGAATGGTTGAGGAGAAAGTCAGGAGAAGAGGTGACTTTTGGTGCGTACGCTGGGGTCTTCAGACATGCCTCCAGACCCGAAGCGGGCCAGCTAAGGGATCAAGTGCGGCCCGGCAGCTCTGCCCCTTGGCCCACCCACGGATTGGGGAGAGGAGGCGGGTGGAGCGCCGGGGGATCAGGAAAGGGAGCCGGCCATGGGAAGGGATCGAACGCGGAGAATGATTGAGCGCCTTCGGGAAGAGGATCGCCCGGCAGTGAGGCAAGAAAGCCAAGGCTCCCCCTGGACTGCTAGGGCTGTTGTGAGCCAAGGGGGCGCTCCTCAAGTGGCGGTCGAGGGGCATTTACAGAGGCGCCTCTGCACCCCTGGCAAAAAAAGTGTACTGCGATCGCTTACTTTGCGTAATGGATGAGCCGCCCCTGGCTGCATCACATTGTTGGCTCATGTTTCACTTGTTGTCCACGAGGACCCCAAGATCTTTTTCACATGTACTGCTC